AGGGAAAGAAACATCATTCACGTTGGTTAAAATACCTGAGTCAAAGGCAAACTCTCTATTTTTTTTTCCAACTTATGGTAGTAGAACTTAGGACCTTGAGATAATGACACAACTTATAGTCTTTCCACCTGTAACATGGCGGATAGCTCCAGCCAAGAGACCACTATTACATGGGTGTTTGCACTACAGCTGGTTGAAAGGTCCTCGTGAGATATTCCTTTGCTTTTAACTGGGATCCCACTGTCGTAGTTTATATACTGTAGAAAGGGTTCTTCCTTGCCTCCTGCAGCGCAGTCTGGCATTAACTCCCTGGACTTAGCACAGCCTGCCCAGGCTGAGGGCACCATCCTCCCAAGACTGCTTTCACTCCGGACGCAAGCAGCAGGCCCGGGGGTTCCCAAGCCACCCATGCCTCTGACTGGCTGCAGATGTGCGGGTTCCCACTTACCCCTCAGGTGTGACAGTTCACTAGGATGACTCACGGAATTCAGGAAAGCACTGCGGTACCAGCTAGAGTTTTATTATGAAGGATGAAAATCAGGACCAGCCAAATGAAGAGACACAGAGAGAGAGGTCTGGAAGGGTCCCAAACTCGAAACTTCCGTGTCCTCAGGACACATTTCCCTCCTGGCACATGCATGTGTATCACCAGCCAAGGAGTTCTCCTGAGCTTCAGTGTCTGCAGTTTTTGTTGGGGTTTTATTATGTAGGCATCACTGTCCACATGATTGAAGTCGGTCTCCAGCCCCCGCCCTCCCCAGAGGAGGTCAGGCTGCTAGTGCATGGCTCAAAGGCCCAACCCTCTAATCACGTGGTTGGTTCTACTGGTGTGCTCAGCCCCCATTCTGGGTGATCTTGCATAAACCCAGGCATGGTCCCAGGCACCCATGGCGAACAACAGAGTGACTCCTATCACTCAGGAAACTCCAAGGATTTAGCAGTTTCCTCCCAGGAACCTTGGACAAAGACCAGATAAATGCTTTTTTTTTTTTTTAATTTTTATTTATTTATTTATTCATTTTTGGCTGTGTTGGGTCTTCATTGCTGCACACGGGCTTTCTCTAGTTGTGACGATTGGGGGCTACTCTTCATTGTGGTGCACGGGCTTCTCATTGCAGTGGCTTCTCTTGTTTCTGAGCACAGCCTCTAGGCTTCAGTAGTTGTGGCTCACAGGCTCTAGAGTGCAGGCTTAGTAGTTGTGGTGCACGGGCTTAGTGGCTCCGCGGCATGTGGGGTCTTCCCAGACCAGGGCTTGAACCCGTGTCCCCTGCATTGGCAGGCGGATTCTTAACCACTGCACCACCAGGGAAGTCCCCAAATTCCATATTATACAACACCTCCCCTTCAGTCGAAAAAATTCTGAAAAACTAGTGACATCTGGATGCTGCAGTTTAGAAACATTAACTATTAGAATTTAACCATTGAAAGTTACGTTTTAAAATATTTGAAAAGAAATTTTAATCTTAGATAGCAAAATCTTCATTTTCCAAATAAGGTTTGGCCTTAGGATTTTTCTAGTGTTTTCACGCAACATAATTTAAATCAAGAGATTGAGGCGTCTTTAGCCATCAGGTTATTTTTTCCTCAAATGCAAATCAAAAAACATGCTACATACATTTAAGGAAAACTTCAAAGACTCTGTTTCTAGAAATGAACATGTTAGTTACATGGGTGTTTTCTTTTTCAAGCACCTGAATGATGGATGGTTTTGCATCCTGCAGGGTTAGCTCCCGAGAAGTGGAATCTGTCATGAGGCAGTGTGAACTGTCTCCTGCTATTCAATCATATTGTGTCTGGATGATATATTTACTCTAATTCTGAATGTATTTCAGCGTGTTAGTCTCCAAATTTGAAAGAGATATTACAGATGACTTCCATAATCCCAAGAGTCAGTGCTTTTTAGTAATTTCTGTCAATAATTGTGATTCCTAGGACCCAGGGCTTGGGACGGTGCAGAGAAAAAGTTAGAGTGTATGACTCTCAAAACCTTAGCAGTAACTGGTGTCCCATTTTTGATGGCATGAAATATTTTAGATGAATCACTTTCTTTTCTTTTTCTTAACCAGGGTATTAAAAGAGGTATAATTGAGATGGCAGATCTGGTGGCTATAACCAAATCTGATGGAGACTTGGTCGTGCCAGCTCGAAGGATACAAGCAGAGTATGTGAGTGCGCTGAAATTACTCCGCAGGCGTTCAGGAGTCTGGAGACCAAAGGTCAGCTTGCATTCTGTTCTGCAGTTTTCACCCTGAGTGACTGTGCCCATTAGAAGAGAGGATGTGAGTCCCAAGCTAGACATACAATCAATCTTTGCTTGTAGGTGAGATTATAATTTTAAAAATTATGGCAAAGCCACAGAGTGTGTAGTTATGATTTTAAGTATAATCCTTCAACCACTAGATGCCAAAAACTAGATGTGAGGCGATAAATTTGATTGCTTAATGCTTGGCTCGAGCCGTTTGGATGTGATGACAAATCCATTCTGCAAGGAACCATCCTGAAGATTATGGTGCAATTAATGACTTGATTATCTAGGTTAGAGTTTGAGTAGGAGAGAACAGGCTTTTGATGTGGTAACTTTCCTTACTATTATGGTTGTCGGGTGATGTTTTCGATAGGGAAAAAAAAAAGACCCGTAGTAAGTGATGCAGTAATACTGATGTGGACGCTTTATCTATAGCAGGGCCCTGTGTTATTAAAGAGTAACCTATAATCACTATAACGAGAACAACGATGACACTTCTTGCTGTCGGCTCCCGGCACGTTGTCTGTGCTGCGTGGAGCTGTCTTGTGCTGCGTCTGGAGCTGTCTAGTCCATGCACATCCCCATGCTCATAGCACCTGCTGACCCAGCCAGTTTGACGGAGGAAACGGGGCTGTTCTCTCAGCTCGGTTTCATTTTCTGGCTTTCAGGCCTCAGGGAAACCTACGTAGCATTGCCCTTCTCATCCTAGTGAGCATTTCGCAGTTCATCCCTGTGGTCTCTGAAGACCATTCGGGCAATCCCCAGTCAAAATAAACCTCTGAGCTAAAAAATACGACCTTGGATCAGTGTCTTATTTCTGCTTCACACTTGGTAACCTTAGTAAGTTACCTTAATATATTTCTCAGTGTGTCTACTTTGACACGATGATAAAATGTCTCATTTTTGTCGCCTACCTATTGCCATAGACTGTAAGACTTAATTGGCAAATGCCAGAGTCCCCATGACAGTGTTTTCTATCGTTTTAAGTAAAATAGTTCTGGTTCTTCCCTTTTCAACAGGTAATTCGTATTTCTGCCAGAAGTGGAGAGGGGATCACCGAAATGTGGGATACAATGAAAGAATTCCAGGCTGTGATGCTTGCCAGTGGGGAGCTGACTGCCAAGAGACAGAAGCAGCAGAAAGTTTGGATGTGGAACCTCATTCAGGAAAATGTGGTAGAACATTTCAGGACCCACCCCACAGTCCGGGAAGAGATTCCTCTTCTGGAAAAAAGGGTTCTCAGTGGGGCCTTGTCCCCAGGACTAGCAGCAGACCTGTTGTTGAAAGCTTTTAAAAGCAGAGACTAATGAAGTACATCCTGTCCAACAACTTTATATCTTTTCATACATATAAAGTTATTGGATAGGATGCACTTCATTTTAATAAAGTATTTTAATATTAAAAGTCACTTGCTTGCTTATATTTTCAGTAATTCTCTTGTGGTGCCCTCGGCCTCCTTATCTGTGAACTGCGCTTGCAAAGTG